TTTTAGTTTCAAAATATTCGTTTAATAAAAATGCTATTTCAGGCATCCTACTGTATTTCACTGGAATAAAAACCTTTTTATTGTTTATAATTGCATTTTCTAAAATTCCAAAGAAATAATAATTTCTTTCTTTCCTATTTAGAACTGGTTTAAGTGCATATTTGGTATCGAGAATACAAAGAAAAGGATTTTGAATTGAAATATCCAATCCATTTAAATGATTCTCTTTTCTATGGTTAACTCCAATACATACCAAAATAGTATCATTATCTTTACATATTTTCCATATTGATCCACCAATAGAATGACCAGAATTATATGCAGAGATGTATAAATCAGATCCTATTTCTACGGGTTGCATATATTTTAATGATATTATTCCATCAAACGCCATATCAATATCAGTTTCTAAATATTGGTTGGTGCTTGTAGAAAATGTAGAATTTGAAAAATTTTGTTCTTTAAAAACATATTTTCCTAAAACTTGTATCGGTGTCGTTGAATATACACGGCCGTAAAAACCACTATTAATTATTTTTGGGAGTGCGCCTGTATATGCAATCTCAAGATGTGAAAGTATTATTATATCTAAAGAAGGTATTAAATCTTTGTATTCATCTACCCAGGAAGAATCAAGGTCTGTTTTTGTACCGCAGTTGATAAGAATTTTTTGTGAATCTATTTCTAATAAATGTGCGTATATTCCTGTTCTTGTATCAACTAATTCATTAAAATTTATAAAACATTCAACCATTTAAAGGGGTTTTTAAAAATCTATAAAATATTTTGTATTTCAAAGTTAAAAAAATAACGAAATTGAAAATCTATTAACATATGATAAATCAAATATTAAATTTAAAATTATATTCAAGTGTAAGGTTGCATAGTTACTACTGAAAGAAATATTTTTGATTTTTAAAGATTTTATTTAATAAAATTCTGGGTTATGATATTTTTTACCATTCTATATATTTTCTTCTACCTCTTTAACCACTACTGTTTACTTTTAAAAAGATGTATTTGCTCTGATTATTACTTAAATTAAATAATAAAAATATTAAAATTTGGAATAATAGACCCGATATATATTTTAGATAATACTAAAAATATGATAAACAGATTTAAGTAGGAATTAATTCCCTATACCCTTCAAATAGTAGAAACTGAAAAACTTAAGAAGTATGACCTGCTAGCCATTCTTGATTCATATTTATAAGAGTAGTGTTGAGATATTTCCGCCAGAGATACGATGAGTTCTGCTCTGCCGGTCCCAAGCCTGGATATAGGAGTAGAGGTAACATAGGCCAATACATCTATCTCACAAAACCATATTGTTACGAAACCGAAACGAAATAATATAAATTAGGAAAATCCTTAAGGGGGCTTTGGCTCTTTAAGCGCCGTAGCGCCAATAGGTATTAGTGTTGAGATAATTCCATATGTGAAGACCTTGGAATAAATTGTGACAAAATACTAAAGGCACGCCTAAAAAGACTACAAATACCTATGAATGCAGAGGAATATATTCAATCCATAGTACTTAAGAAGACAGTCGAAACTATTTCTTTTGAATGACGAAGAGAAATTGAGTCGAGACAAAAGACCAAAGAGAGATGGAAAAGCCCGTTAATGTATGTTATTAAGAGACTCGAGATGCACAAGGATACAAAACCCCCTTCAAATCAAGCGATTAACCAGGAAGATGGTGTTAAAAATTTCAATACAAAAAATAATATACCTTATCCCGAAGGAGGAACCATATTAGAGGAACCGAAAATAAACATAAATGAAGAGTCTGATTTAGAAGAAGAAACGTTAATGGTTAAAGAGTTAGAACAAATTATTTAAAAGAGAGAAAAAAGGTTTTAACCAAGAAAGTTATAAAATATTTTTTTCTCGATAATTTGTTTTAAAGACGAATATTAAAAATCTTATAAATGCATGTTAAATTAAATTTCTTTTTTTCTTCAATAATTATTCTTTAAAAAACGAATCTCAAAAAAAGTTTGTCTATAAACTCATTGTAAATCAGAATATCGGTTTATCAACGATTCAATTCAATTATATTATTTTAGTGTTTAGTAGAATTTTTTAATTCATAGAAATTTCACTATTTTTCAAAAATAATATAATTTAAAACTTTAATCACAATTAGATAGAAAATAAGAAAAAAAATCCTTATTATTTGCTATTGCATTACAAAAGGAATTAAAACTTTAATCACAATTAGATAGAAAATACGAAAAAAAATCCTTATTATTTGCTATTGAACTGCAAAATGAAGTAAAACTTAAAATCCGAATTTACAATTTAAAATTATAAAAATTCCTTATTATTTGCTATTGCATTACAAAACGAATTAAAATTTAGAATCCGAATTTAAAAAAATAAAATTTACCAACCAATCAAAATTAAACGGAAATTTAGAACCATTTTTTAAAACATTCTCTATAAATCAAAACATGTTTCAAAATAAAATAAATAAATGCATATAAAGTGAAAGAAGAAAAAAAACCCTACAAATGACAAAAGACTTATTAGAAAAATATTTTGAATCGCGCAATATTTTACACATTTTATCACTTTTTATAGAAAAAGGAATCGATGAACCATTTTTGCTTTGTAGATTGAAATATTCCGATTTGGAAAAACTTGGTGTCAGTGACTATTCTGATCGTAGGAAAGTATATGAAATTATAACTATTATAAAGAATGAGTTACAAGACAATTTAGAGGAAAACAATACATTGGAAAGTTTGGTTACATTTATCAGTGAAAGTAATTCTTCTCCTATAGAATCTTTATCTTTGAAATCTCCTATACGTTTTTCTACGAATACACATATATCTGATTTACAAGATTCTAAGATATTACAAAGAAATAGAAATAATTTGAGAGAAACAGTTTCATTTCATCCTACAGTTTCACCCAGGGAGAAAAATATAACTAAAAAAGGAGAATCAGGCATGGTTTTGGATGGAAATCAAACTAACAAAAGTAAAATTACAGTGTGTGTACGAAAAAAACCTATTGATTCAAAAGATATGGATATGATTGACATAGAAAAGAATGTAGTAACTTTAAATGAGCCAAAAGTACGTTTGGACTTAAAAAAATACACTGAGCAACACGTTTTTAGTTTCGATTTTGTTTTTAACACTTCTTCAAAAAATGAAGAAGTCTATTGTAAGTCTGTATTTGAGATAGTTAGTTATGTTTTGAATGGTGGTAACGGCACTGTTTTGGCTTATGGACAGACGGGTACCGGAAAGACTCATACAATGTTCCATCCACATACCGGCATTGTGTTTCGTGCACTTACGGATCTTTTAAACTCCGAAAATATCCTACAAATTTCATTTTTGGAAATTTATAACGAAAAAATCTTTGATTTGTTAAATTACAGAAACAAAATCGAAATGAGGGAATTTAAAGGAAGCGTATTTTTTGTAGATTTAAAGCAAGAAGAAGCTAATACGTTTGAAGATGCATGCAAAATAATAAACCACGGCTTAAACCATAGAAGAACAGGCATTACAGATACAAATACAGAATCATCAAGGTCACATGCAATTCTTAAAATTTCAATTAAGAAAAATACAGTAAAAAACGTAAAGATAAATAAAAATTCAACTGAAGAAGTAAAATATTTTTCAAAAAATTTAAAAATTTGTGAATCTGAAGAAAAAAAAAGTTGTAAAATATCAATTGAAGACCAAAGTATCGTATTTGTAGATTTGGCTGGAAGTGAAAGAGGAAATGATAGAAAAACGGTAGCAAGTAACACCAAAAATGAAGGTGCAGAAATAAATAAAAGTCTCTTGGCTCTTAAAGAGTGTATAAGAGGATTGGATAAAAAATTTAAACATCTTCCTTTTAGGCAAAGTAAATTAACTCAAATTTTGAAAAATTCACTCATTGGGGTTTCAAAAACCTGTATTTTAGCAACAATCAATCCCTCGGTATTCTGTGTAGATCATTCATTGAATACACTGAGGTATGCGTATAGAATTAAAGGAAATCAAAAAAGTCCGAAAAAACAGATATCAGGTGCACCGCAATCTTTTTATGACAAAATTAAAAATAAAAAGTCACCAAATAAATATTTTATAAGAAATTCAATTGAAAATACTTTGTATAGAGATTCATCGTCAATTACCACATCTTCATTATCTTTTAATACTTTTAAAGATGAAATTGATGATGTAAATTTGGCAAAAAAACGTGTAAATTGTGTAATTTACAAAATTAAACAAGCTATCAGTACAACAGAAGATATTAGTATTGTTGAGGTTGCATATGATGGATTGATAAAAATAGAAAATCAAATAAATGATATGAAATTTTGAATTGATAATTAGTTATGAGTTTCTCTCTCTATGACTCAGTTTTTTTATTTTCTGTGAAAGAAAATTAAAAATTAAAATCAAAGTGAAAAAAAGTTTATTCTTATAAAATTATTCTTAACCGTTCACAGAAAAAGGTGAATAAAGAAGATTTGATTTATGATTTTAATAGTGAAGTGGAAAACAAAATATTAGAATTTTTTATGGACAATTCATTTGTAAATTGTCGTAGATTATAAATAAATTTTTGGTTTTTTTAATTCTTTAAAGCAAAAGCTTAAATTTGTTGTATCATTTTCAGTTTTTCTTTTTTATCTCAGAAATTCTAAATGAAATAAATTAAGATTTGGTATTAATATTTGCAATAAATTTTTAAATTTTCTATTTATTGTTTATTTAGTTTCTTATTTTCCTTTAAATTCTGTTTAAAGCAATATTTTGTGTGTTTCGATAAAAATTGTAAAATTTAATGTTTCCGTTAAGAATTATAAAATTATTTTTCTTTTAATTTTAATAAAATAAAGCATTGGTTGTAAGCCAATATGAAGTATTATGATGTAAATATTACTTGCGAAACGAAGATACAGAAATATTAAAAATAAATTGTACTATTAGATTAATATTATTTGCAATTATATAAACACCCAAAAAAAATGCTTCCCTTGGGGATCGAACCCAGGACCTTCGCGTTATTAGCACGACGCTCTAACCTACTGAGCTACGGAAGCTGTAATTTCTATTTGTGTTACTATAAAATGAGTATTAAAATGTTACAATTGATATAAATAGAAATTCATTCGAAGATTTTTTTGGTTTAATTTAGAATTTTATATCAAACAAACTAAGTTTTAAATATAAATTTAAATTTATATGAGACAAAATCAAATAGCATTTATAAATATAACTAACAAATTTTAAAATAAGTGAAATATCTAAAATAAAAATACGAGTTTGTTGCATTTTTACAATCCCATTCACATTATATTATGCCAAAAAGTTTCTCGAATATAACAAATAGAATGTGGTATTATAAACAAAATTAATGCTATATTAGTCAAAAAATTCTATTGCGTATGTTTAGTACACCTGTGGGAGGAAGGGGACACATAAAAATTAAATATTTCGAAAAATTTTCGAATCTAAAGTACTGTTAATACTTACTTACTTATTCCGCTCCTCTTTTACCTCTCAGTGTCTAGGATGAACAAATGAAAATTTAACATTTGTTTCTTTAAATCAGCTGTAACTCGGGATTATAAAGGATTGGCCTTATAGATCCGGTGTGGTATATACACCAACATAATTGCAGTAAAGATTTTAATACGAATTGTACACATTCATTATCAAACAGAAAGTTTTTAATGTGGTTATCCTCTCTCCACCTGGTACTGTTAATTTTATAAAATATTTATTTAAAAGTATCACATCTTTTTAAAATAGTGGCAAGTTTTAGATTTGTTTTTATGACATTAACGCAGTTCTAGGTTTAACATAAATGACTGCTACCCTAACACTCCATCGGTAACCCCTGCGATACCTACGTCCCAAAGCCTTTTATCTACCAGGTGTTTAGAACCTAATTTATAGGCGAGACAGTTGCCCGGAGTTCTTTAATGTCCGCTGCATGAAGTGTGACCGAAAGCCGAAGCCTTATCTAGGCTCCCCCAAGACTATGCAGCATTCCCACTTACTCTACACTTTCTGAACCCAATAAACTTCTAGCTAAGATATATTTCAGAGATTTACATGGGGTCCACCTAGACAATGCAATGTCCTACCAACAGGTATAACCTGCTACTTAGCTCTCCCGGCTTTCAATGGTTTTTATTTTTATATCTCCCAAGCGCTAAGTCTTCTGGCCCGAGTGAGCAAGGCTAGGTTTTCAATCCTTTTATATGGCAATTACCTAGATGTTCAGCTGTGGTCTACGATTCTGGTTACATAAAAAACTACAAATAAATTTATAGACAAAGTTTCTCCATTTCTTAAACCTCTCCTCCTCATAACAACTCACGTGAAACAAACGAAGATATACTGTGGTTTTATTCCCACCAAAAATCCAAACAATGATCTTCACACCAGTTCACACACTCATTGCCAAGCAGAAAGTTTTTATGTGGTTATCCTCCCTCCACTTTTTACGTAAAAAAATTTTCTTTTTTCTATTTATTTTTATATTTCAAGTTTATCCCAAATGACAAAAAAAGATTTTCCATCGAAATATATTTATGGTCTCTACTCAAAGTTTTCACGAAATATTAGTCAGACACCAATGAAGATAAATGGAAAACTTTTATATGAAAAATCTATAAATGATTTCTGTAAATCGATAGCTGAACATTTCAAAGCAAAAAATGTAAAATTTATTAGTTGTGGAAGAGAAGATGCAAATGTTAGGATGGTTGGTAAAAGACCATTTTTACTTGAAATTGAAGGTGGTGTTTATAATGAAGAAAAAATGAATATAAATTTGGATAAAAATATCAAAATTTTTGATTTGGTTTGGATGAAAGATGAAATCAAATTTATCATTAAAAATGCTGAAATGAATCATTATAAAGTTTATAGAGCCATGTTATTTATAAAGAATTTAAATATACATAATGTGGAGTCGAATATTCCACCAATTAACTTAGAAAATGATAACCAGTTTTCATATAACAAAGCAATACTAAATATGAAAGAAAAAGTTGAAACTTTTGCCGGAAACAATGAAAATCATATTAGCGATGACATAAATAGTTTTATACATTCGAATGAAAATATTGTTGATTTTAAACAAAATATTTTAGAAATACAACAAAAGACACCCTTAAGAGTTGTACATAGAAGATCAAATATTTTTAGAACAAAATATATTGAATTAATTAAATTAGAAAAACTAAAAAACGGTTTTCTTATCATAGATTTAATAAGCAGCGCAGGTGCTTATATCAAAGAATTCGTAAATGGAGATTTTGGAAGAACAAAACCAAGTTTATCTGATTTCTTTAATAATTATACTGACTTAGTAGAATTAGATGTTTTAGCGGTAGAAGAATGTAAAATACCAGAAGAATTCAAGTTAATGAACGTTTTTTATGAATGTGTTTTCAATGATTAACATGTTTAGAATTCAAGGTTTTTTTTAGATTTTAAAAAATAAATTAAAATTCGATTTTTGACAAATTTCGATACAATATTCACCAAATAGATTTCTATGTGTCAAAAACATAATAAATTGTTTTTTTGCTTTTAAAGTTTATTTTTTTTGCTTTTAAGAAACTTTTTTTTGTTTCATATAAAATAGAAATTCAAGATCTATTCAATGCGGTCTATTTTAATTGTGTTTATTTTTTGCATCTTTGTTGACTTATCCGACCTAGAAAGGCAAATCATTTATATATTTTAAACCAATGTATCGTTTTTGATTCTCTTATAATAAACAAAGGATTAAAACTTTTTAATCTCGAAGTGATGAAAATGTTTAAGTCATTATTCTGTTGATAGTTTATTGAAATGCTCACCCTGCTCGTTATATGAGATAAATGTATGCATCTTTTTCAGGAACAAAAAAAATATGGTCTTTACACCAATCCTTTTATAGCCCAAAAATGATTTATACTGTCTTTTTATAAACTATCAACCGCATATATGCCTCTATTCTTATTGACATTCGGAAATTCTCAAAGTAATGTAATTTTATTAGTTATAATACCATTCTTGTTTATCTTACAAGAGATTATATTACATTTATAAATAAGACCTAACTCATTAGCCAAGAATTTTACTTCCTGGGTTCTGAAACTTTCAAAAAAATTAAAAAACGGATTTTTAAACCCTCATGAACTTTTCTGAAAATTTAATAAAATCGTATAAAGAAGCAAAAGTATTTCAAGAATTATCACAATTGAATTGTATAGATTATCTTTATGACGGAACTTCATTTGGTGTTTCAACAAACGATACTTTAAAAATTTACTGTCCCATACGCGGTATTTTGTACAATACAATTCACATTCCACAGTTAAGAAAATTTATATTTCTTTTTAAAAATACAATTTTACATTCAACAGAAAATTATATAAAATATCTTTCGTTATATGACAATCAATATATCCGGTCTTTTAAATGTGAAAGGGTAAAATCGTTATCTTCAAATATCAATAATGATTTATTTTTATCTTCTTCTAATGACTGTGTAAATGTGTGGGATTTACGCTGTAAAAATTCTATTTATAAATTATCTGTAAACGATTCAATAGTTTCATTTTCTTCAAATAATAAATTCTGCGTAAATGTGGGTGATTCGTTAGTCAAACAATATGACATGAGGAATGTCACCTATGGACCAGAAAAAACAATATACTTTGATGGACATGACGAAATAACTGGTATTCAGTACTCTAATGATTCAAAAAATATAATAATAAGCAGTAATAATATACATACAGTAGTCAGTGCTGAGACAGGAAAGGTGAAGTATAATCATTGTTTTGATAAAGTCTCGTATGCTTGTGCTTCACCTGATTCAAAATATTTGTTTTGTACTTCAGGTAGTCATGTGTTTGTTTATGGAATTGATGACAAAAAGAAGGTGCATACGTTTAAAGATTCAAATTTTGAGCACGGTTTGATAAAATGCAATCCAGCGTATACACAATTTGTTACGGCTTCTACATCTGTTGTTTTTTGGATGCCACCTCAAGATGTCTGAAGATTTTCATTATAACTTGACCTTTCACTACTAAATTTAAAGAATGTATCATTTTAGGCGTAAAACCTAAAAAAAACTTTAAATGTTTTCTGATTCAAATACTTGATTTGGTTTTTATTTAAAACCAACCTTTTTTCAATTTTCTATCAAATTTATAATTAAAATTTTTATGAAATTTTATATTTATTTACTACTTATTTTACTATCAAATTTAATTTTAAACTGGTAGATCTGAATTTTAACAGTGAATTATATTTATTTGCATTTAAATTATTTACGGCGTTGAATTTCTGTCATCATTTTAATATTTTTATATTTGCAATTTAAATAATATAATGGTGGAGGGAGAATAACCACAAGAAAACTTTCTACTTGGTAATGAATAGGGGAAGATGAAATCATTGTTTGTATTTTTGGTGGAATAAAAGCATACTATGCCTTCGGTTGTTCATGCGAGTTTGTATGAGAAGAAGAAGGTCTATGAGATGGCGAAACGTTTTCTAAAAATAAATTTTGTAGTTTTTTATATAATAGATCTGAGATCGCAACTGAAGTTGTAAGAAGTACCAAGTAAAAGCATGGAAACCTAGCCTTGTATACTCGGATTAGAAGACTTGGCGCCATGTGATATTAAAATAACACCATGGAAAGCCAGAAAAGCTCAGATGCAGGTTATACCTGTTGGTATGCCATTGTCTATCAAGTTAATCTCGATGTACGTCGCAAATATATCTTTGCAGGAAGAAGATTAGGTTCTTTATGGGTAGAATAAGTGGGAATGCTGCATAGTCATAGGTAGTCTAGGGTGGGCTTCGATAACAGTCAGTGTAACGAACATTAAGGAACACCTGGTAACTGCTTTGCCTATTAAATAGATTATAATCAACTTTTAGATAAAAAAATGGGAATTTAGGTATCGTAGAGGATACTGATGGGGGGTTAAGGCAGTTAGATGTGAAACCTAGAACGGTGTTAACGCCATTGAAACAAAAACATTTATGCCACTGTTTTAAAAAGATGTGATATTTTTAA